TTTGCGGGGGGAAGGATAGCGCGTACAGGAGCCGTGCAGAGCCAGGGGCGCCGGTCTCCGCAGGCTGGTGCGCTCCCCGGGACCCCCCGGTTTTGGTGAGGGGCCAAGGAAGTTAAGTGGGCTCCGGGCAGGGGAACGCGGAGCCCAAACACCCGAGCGAATATAAAAAAAAAACAAACCCAAACACACCCCCGTCTGCTTGCAGGCAGCACGAACACGCAGCCCGGGCTGGTTGCAAAGGGTCACAGTCCGCTTCCCCCAGTCCTAAACAGCCTCACTGGGCAGAGACATGTCCAAATATAGCCTCCTCCCTGCGACCTCCTCGAAGAAACCGGGGCTTGCCCAACAGTTAAAGAGATGGCAGCGGGAGCCCAAGGATGCTTGCGGCACGAGCTGTCTTTCAGGATGCTGTCCGCCTCTTGCTGCTGCAAACGGCGCTGCTGCAGGGGGGGGAAGGATTTGGGGAAAACCCATGCTGACGCAAACCTGCCCGGGATGGGACTTGGCGGGGGAGGACGGAAGGGGAGGGGGCTCACGGGATCTTAACAAGGTGGGTAACGGACGGGGCTCACACGCCGGGTGAGCCCCAGGCTGGCTCAGGTGGGGAGAGCGGACACAGAGCCACGGAGAGGCCCAGGAGGAGGAGGAGGAGGAGGAGAAGGAGGGCAGCCGGGGACTCCTCTGCCACCCTCACGTGCATTTCGGCAGTAACCCATAGGCGAGGGCAGCGGTGAGCCAGGGCCAGCCCCTGGCTTGGACAATTTACAGCGTAAATAGACAACCGGAGGCTGGGAGGGTAATTATTAATCGGGATGCTATGCCCAGACAACCGCTGCCCAGCGGGGAGCGAATCGCTCCCCCCCCCGCACCCACGCCGCGCTGGCGGAGGGCGCGTTGGCAGACGTGGCTCCGCAGAACCAGAAGCGCCCTCGGGGCGATTCCCCCTCGCAGGGAGCAGCAGCCCAGGCCCTCAAGCCGCGAGTTACCGGCGGGGGGGGGCCGAGTTTGCTGGAGGAGGACCAGGCACTCCCCGGCGTCCCAGGAGGGCGGCGAGCGCTGCTGTGTCACCGCCGCCACGCGAGCTGGGCCCACAAGCTGCCGAGAAGCGCTGCTCCAGGGGAGAGGCAAGCCGCAGAGATGCGTTTCTTCCAAAAGGGACGTTAACGGGGTCAAGGTCTCCTCAAAAATTCAGCACGAGATCTGCCTCCCTCTGGGGGGGCACTCGGCAACACCGCTGCCAACCCGCTGGCACCAGGCCGCGGCCAAGGGGCGAAACTAAAATTTCTTTCGA